TACACCCACCACAACTACTACGCCAACCACAACTACAACACCAACTACAACTACAACACCAACCACAACTACTACACCAACCACAACTACAACACCAACAACAACTACAACACCTACCACAACTACTACACCAACCACAACTACTACACCAACAACAACTACAACACCAACCACAACTACTACACCAACCACAACTACAGCAACTCCTGGTGAGGAAGACTGCGGGGGCTGCACCATCTCGTCGTACTGGGCGTGGCAGCCGCCGTGTGTGGACGCTAATGGCAGACAATACTGCTGCGAAGACGCTCTCGTACATCCTGTTACCGGCTGGTGCAAACTGCCCGTGTGGCGGGGGACAGCGTGGTCCTTCTGGACAAATTGCGACACTGCTGGGCGCGGCTGTGGCTGTGGAGAAAGGCAAAGGGAGTACGCATGCTGGGACCCATATTACGAACAAATACCCATGTTGGACAGAAAACCGCCGTATTCGGACTGCAGAGTTTGGTATGTTTTATACTGACTTCAGACATAAAGTATGGTGTTTTGGTCCTGTAACCTGTATAATACGAGAGGCTTTTTGTTTAAAAAGTGTTTAAACATTAGGGTCAAATTTATCTTCTTTTTTGAACCAAGTTAAATCAGTAATGGCTCATTGAAATTTCATATTGTGCTTTTCGCACACGAAAGACATTGTTAATGCTGTAGACCAATGTTCCCTTTATTAAGAGTAACTATTACGGTTTATCTTCAAGTAAACTGTCTAAAGTTTTTGGCTGAAAGGCCAAACAACCTAATTTTGGGCTTTAGCTCCTTTGTCAATCGGACAATTTTAGCATTTTGGTTGTGGGATGGTTCAATTGGAGTCAAATGAGAGAGCATTTCAACTTCGCTGCTCGACTTACTAGGGTTGCGTAAAGCCAGGCGAGGTGTTGCGCAATTTAGAGCGCGGGGTTAGAAAAAAATGGTATATTAGCGAGTAGAATAGAAATAATTTATTTTATCCACGGATATTGTTCTAGTTGCTTTCTAGCACGGACACTCGCCATGTCTTACGCGGAACTTGTATCGTTTTCTGAGAGGTGATTCACGGCGCATACAGTTTAACCCTTAATGGTTTTAACAGATTAACCCTTATGTGCCTCACATAGACACTGGCGAGTTTATTTAGTCTCGTATGACGTCACGCAATACGTCACATAATACCGTAAGCTTCGTTTCCGGGTACCTCAGTTGTCTTTCATCCCATTAGATTAATCAACAGAATTATGGGTTTGACTTTTACCCGAGGCAACTTGAAAACACGTATATATATATATATATATATATATATATATATATATATATATATATATATATATATATATATTTGATTAATTATTATTATGCCTATGTGTACATATTGTTGCCCAAGTAATTTATGTATAAGGTCCGGTGTAGCACTGATACCTGTCGCAGCTTTGATGCTAGTTCTATTACAGCTTCATTTCTCATGGGACTGGTACATGTTATCAATAATGGTACTAACAGCGCAGTCCAGGCGTCTTAATCTATGTCTGTACATTAATGGCTTAATCACTCTGCAAGCGTTACGTGTAAAAACACAGAAATGTGTGACTAGATGTAGATAAAAGGTGGCGATGAAGTTGTACTTTCATTTATATCAGTAAACTCTGAGGCTACTGGACACGAACACTTACATTTGCACATCATTTCATAGAATGCCTACAAAATATCTTTGCAAATATCCATTTCGATTTTGGCACATTTTCTTTAATAAAGGGAACACTTTCTATTAGCGGCCATGATTCGGCCATATTGGCGGCAAAGGTACCCATGATTGGCTTGAAGGTCTTATGTGGACCAATGCCCTTGGTATAGATTCAGAGCTAACGGTGGATCACCCAGTCTTAAGTTATGGCACAGCAAATCTTTTTTTCATCATGCGGCCCAGCACGATAAAACTAACAGGAGTGTAGAAGAATAGTTAATAGGTGTACAAGGTGTTGACGAAAAACAATGTGATTACTGTCGTTTAGGATAAAATGCAGACAAAATAAGAGTTACCAGAGGTATAGGAAAGGCAAGAGTTTGAACAGCACCTCTAAGGGTGAGTCAAAACAGACAAAAAGGAGGAAAAACGAGCAAAATTGGAAACGTTTTTGGAAAAACACACCAAGGGGCTTAAGGCTTAAGGGTGAGTCGAAGTGTAAAGAAGTATAATTAATTAGTGTTTCCATATATTGTATATGCAGTTTTTCACTTTGCAATGCTTATCATACTCTTGAAACTCCATTCTTATTCCTTGGCAAACAGTGTACGTTTGCATTTAATCGACTAAATCCCAAATGGCTAATGCTGTTGCTCCTAGCCACGCTTCATATGTTCGACATTTTATTCCCTAACTGACTAATTATATCTATCAGATGGGTACGTGGTTTGGCTTTTATTTTTGCCACCGCTTATGCTTATAACATTAGCAAACGAAAACTTGTCATTAATTATTATAATCATTTGTTAGAGATTCTAACTTGTATTGCTGTTTATTAACACACGAGATTTTATATAGAAAGACTGCAGTGATGTCATGAAATTAATATTTCGTTTATTTATGTATTTAGGCAAAGACAACGGTGTAACAGTATAGCTTGTTCTGCAGCAGAATGTGATTATAACACCAACCCCGAGTAAGTACCCAGAAATGTGAGAAAATGAATAAAACTGATTACAACATATATTAGTGAACAAAGAATTGGATTTATTAGTAAAAACTATCATTTTGCCCACAAAACATGAAAAACGCCCACACAACATGAAAAAAGTTGCATCGTCAACGAGATTTGCTATTTGCTCGAAGACACATTGGGTTTGTTTTCTCCTAGTTTTACATTAACGTTTTTCTTCTGTTTCAGCTGCGGTTGTTGCGAAGGGTTTGTCAGAGACGATTATAACCAATGTGTACGACAACCATAAGTCATCGAGAATGAGACACTTAGATGTAAAAATTAGAGATATTGGGATCGCAAAGAATTTGGAACTCAAACATCCTAAGTTATAATTATTATCATTGAATAATAACGGATCAATTAGACGTGGATGGTCATAAAAGCAAGACTTCAAAAACATCATGAAAGGAAAGGACACACAGTTGTCTCCACGAGCTGCTCACGTACATAACTTGTTCATTTTGATTACATCATTAATAAAATGTAATATAACATATTGATCAGTGTGCAAATAATGAATCCCAAGTATACTCTTCTGCAGCGTTACGGTCTTCAGTGGTTTCCGTGGTGTGTATTTTCATGAACGTGGTTGCCCAGCAGACAAATTATGTTGTTTTAACGTTGAAACAACGTTGAACCATAACGTTGATAAGACGTTAGATAAACATTGGATTTGAAATTGGATCAACGTCAGATAACAACGTTGTATCAACGTCAGATAACAATATTGTATCAACCCCAGTTGTTAGACAACACAATACAGGGGACTAAAGACACAAATACATGTATGGCCTAGGAACAAACAAAACGCATCAGTAAGCTTGGTTATATAACAAATTCATCATGTTTGACGGTTAAAATGTCACACTGTGTCTTCCAAGAAATCGCAGTATTTGTCGTAATACTATGTTTTAAAAATTGTGCTTTTAATGAAAAATTCTCGACAACGACACATCTCGTATTCCAATCCAAACAAGATCTTTGCAAAATCCCAGCGACCTAGATCACGATATTACGCATTCCAGGCTTTTAAAAGAGCTTCTTTGTTCGCTGTCACCCACTGCTCCAGGGTCGCCATCTTTGGGTTTAGCCGCTTACATTCTTCTGGATTCCTGTCGATTCCACACTGGTAGAACCGAAACATATTGGCCAAGTCATTGGCACCGGGGAAACCAAACCCTGCCATCTGTTCAGCTGTCATCTGCAAGCATATAAAGAAAAATGAATGAATGGATGCATATATAAATAAATGAGATAAAATAAAAATATGACAATTTGACAAAGGGTTCGCGGGTCTCTGTAAACTCCCCGGACCCCCCCCCCCCCCCCCAGCCAGTTGTTACATCGTGGCATGCCTAGGCCGACATATTGCCGACTTTCACACCAAGGGGAATATTCCTACATCTGCAGCTAAAATGACCGCATGCAACCTTTTTACCAAATACATAAAGATAAGCTATATTAGAAAAACACATTCTGTAAAATGAAAGCCATAGTATAACATGTTTGTACTACAGTGACTATTTTAGTTGAATCTGTTTATGAGCTTATCAGCATGACCTAATGAAAATGTAATATTGTAGCAAAAAAGGGTTATTACCTTGGGATTAACGACAGTGACTCCCAGAATCTTGCTGAACATGTCGCAGTATTGGTCTATGGTGTATATCCAGCTGGCGAGCCCCAGAGACTTCCCGGTCCACTCCCTGGGGTTGTTGAACAACTGATGGATGCACTCTCCCGCGTCTGCGCACACGATCATGTGCATAGGAACATCTCCCATTGGTATCCCTGACGGGAAAATGAACTTAAACGTCTGTATTACTTGTTCACAGAAAAAGTGTAGCATAGATGTTTTCTTTTACCAAAAGACGGCGCCACGAAGACTCCCAAACACGTGGTGCTTTTCTATAGAAAGACCTCCAATCGACCCCAGTACTTAATACAATAAGAAATGAAAGTAGCGCATTGAGTGATTTCGTGTATTAAACGTGGAATGAGACAAGGGAACTGATTGCAATTTTAAAACCATGAGCACGGGCCAGTCTAACAGCAGCCTCCTTAAAAGCAATCAAAACAGATATTACCATTGTTATAATTAGACGCTGCACATTTTAGAATTTAAGGTTTCAAAAAAGTTATAATTAACTTATATCAACGACCCTATTTTCTTCAATATGTTGAGTAAATATTTAAGCATTCCAATCCCATCATATAATTATAATTGGCATAAATATCTCACTGTCCTTTAAAGTATGCTGGACATTTTATCAGTTTAAGACTAAGTAGAATAAGTGTCATTGTGTCACCAATATTATTATTTCTAAAAAAATGGTGCATTAGCAAAATAACAACCGATGACCTCCTCTGCCATTCTCTTTATGAAATGCAACTGCAAATGCAAAGAACTCTTCTTATCGTGCACAATGCTTTACGTTAATGTCGATCTTCGTTCAATAACATTTAAAGCAGCTGGCTTACCCAAAGCAAAATTTCCGTCCTGTGTCTTTTGGGGTTTCATTATACCGAAAAGGTTCTCGGCGTAGAAGGCATACCGCACAACCGTGTGGGGAATTCCTGTAAATAATGAAAACAAGACTTACTAGCTATTAAAGGGATAATAAGTCTTCGTATGAGATCTATATTTCACAGTAAAAACATTGTGAATAACTCATAGAAATATAATATATTCTGTTTTACCACAAAAACGGCAGTTATAGCTATTACTCTGATATCTGAGCTTGTCTTTAGACCACGTGACCTCCACTAATGGCTATACTCTGTTAAAATCTCTTAAGAGATTTTAACAAAAAAACAAACTTTTTAGAAAAAAAAAAAAAAAACAGGGACTAACTTTGAATGTAAAAATGGATTCATTAACCATCGGTAAGTATGGGAAAATTGTTGTTTACTCCAGGAAAATTCATTTTTTGGCTGAAACGAAGAGTTATTATCCCTTTAAGTTAGTTCTGTCTCTCAAGTCTATACGAAAACTACTGAAATAATTCTGGCAAGGGGAATCCACCAAGATAAAAAAAAAAAACAACGTCACTAATAGGGAACGTACTAGAACCCGCGAATGCTGGGTTCAGCTTTTTGGCAATAAGGCTGAAACTCACTGCGTTGGGAATATCTTTTTTCGAAAGCGATACAAAAGTCAAACGCATAACATAGTAACAGCAAACTGTCGTGTATTTTTCTGTAATTTGTCAGAACTTAACAGCAAGCAACCATAAAATATGTGTGGATAAGTTCTGACAACTTTTATTCGTTGGCGCACCGCAACCTAGTCTGCTATTATACTGCTTTATTGATACTTTCTGCACCAGACTGAACTGGTGAAAATGTACAGAGATATAATAGCAACAATAATAATAATAAAATACATAGATGAATAGCACCAAAATTACATATATAGAAATGTACCATTATTATACATACAAATCCAGTATTTCATATTATATGTGATCCAACTCTCTCCAATTCCGTGAAACATCAGTGGATTTGACGCAAGGCGCGAGACGTAGAGACAAAGAATGTATTCTGGTTGCCTACCAGTTTTTTTTTCTTGAGATGCAGAAAACTAGAGCACACCCTGCAATAATGTTGCAGCGAAAAAGAACCATAGCCTAAAATCCGGTCTACTTGAAGTGATAACAGTCCTCTTGCAACTTCTGACCAATGCCGTTTTGCAGTCTGTACATGTACTAGTATATGTAGGATCCTTGAAAATTCGAGAATATGTTTTTACCTTTTGCTTTCATATATTCCTCAATAGCCGCTTTCCCGTCAAAGTGGGCCACGGAAATACCCTTCAGTTTCTCTGCTGCGTCCAGGCTGCTGAAGACTAGGTGCTTCACACCACAGTCTGCGCATGCGTCGGCAATGTTTTTGCCCTGGTTACAAACAAGAATAGATAGATATGGGCACAGATTTTGCAGGTACTGGTAAGCAGACATAACAGACAAACTAGATTTTTTCTAAACAATATGGATAAGCATACTAATTAATTTTCATATTTGCGTATAGGTGGAATTTATACCCACAGAGATAAATCTGAGGTCGCGTGCAATCATTCTTAACGGATGCTAGAGAGTATTTTTATATTTTTATATTAAAATTTTTATTTTTATTTTTTTATATTTTATATTATAATTTTTTATTATAACTTTTCTAAAAAATATTTAAAAATAATCGTCTGACTTCAGGGATGCTACGTCAGTATACATTGTGTTGCTCATACATACCTGCTGAATTTCTTTCTCTTTGTCAAAGTACTCCCACCAGTTGGTGACGGCAAAGCAGCCATAGGCGCCGCTCAGAGCCGACTTCAGGGACGCCACGTCGTCAATGTCTGCCTTGACGACCTCACAACCTGCAGGAAATGTGGTGTCATGGGTGTGGTTATGAGAGAGAGAGAGAGAGAGAGAGGGGGGAGGGATGGAGATTGAGATAGGGAGAGACAGAGCGAGAGATAAGAAGAGAGTGAGGAAATAAAGGGACGGGGGAGAGGGAGATACAGAGAGAGACAAAGAGAAATATAGAGAGGGAGGGGGTAAATATATATATATATATATAGAGAGAGAGAGAGAGAGAGAGAGAGAGAGGAGGGATGCGGAAGGTTACAGTAATCCACATATACCTAAATTAATCTACATCAAAGCCATTACAGCAACTCGTGTTTGCCTGAAATCATTTAAAGAAAACTGGGTATAACTGATCAGGCAAAACTAAGTAAAACTGCTAACATCATAACAGTGTAGTTGGTCAAGTCAAGACTGACCTATCTGGCTCAGAGCCTTGCCTTTGGCGCTACCAGGGTTACGAGTGACAGCTCGCACTTTGTACTGGGGGTCTCCTGCTAAGGCTTTGGCAACAGGACCCCCCTGGGTCCCAGTGGCGCCAAATACTACGACAATCTGGAATGTAAATGACATCATGATGTTAGTTTAACATAAAGGGTTTTTCATATCGAGAGGTTGGCAACCGCCCGACAGCTTATTACGCACAGTATATAGGACAGTAGGTGTGAAATAATCATCTGAACGGACTCTCAGCGATCATAAATTATAAACTTAGCTAAAACAGCAGAAATCGGACATGAGGAGAACTTGGGAACAAAAACTTTTTGCTTAAATGCATGTTAGGATCTACAGTGCAGCGACCAAAGTGTATCGGTACAGTCAATATCACTAAACCCCCCTTTACGTCCTTTGTGCGACCATGAAACCGGAGGCACAAGCATCGCTTTGGTTGCAGTATGAATGCTCAATGAATGGCCAGTTGTCGGCAAGTAAATTAAAGTATTTTTTTACTCTAGCTCAGATGGGCCTGTACTACGGAACGCAGAACGGACGCCGTCCAGTGTAAAGGGGGCTTAAGGGATACCGCTCAATGAAAAGAACCTCACATACACCCTACTGCAGTCAAGACACCAGACCACATGTTCTTATTTTTCAAATAACCAAATGAGGTCTTATATCGGGCCTAGACTATGCTTTTTCTAGTTGATTAAATTGTACACAGGGCATTTTATAAGAAAAAAAAAAAACTTTCATTGCGGTCATTTACGTATGTTGTCATATTTCCAAAGTCTTTGGAAATCCACTCAAAATCTCCTTAATACAAAAAGTGCCTAAATATAGACCCATTAATTCGGCGTTTCGCTTCAACGCCTGAGATAGAAAAACATTCCCGAATTTACAAGTTACTGCCTTGGCTAGCAATTTCCAACGTTGAGCTAAAAATGTCGGTAGATGAAATGTTTAACTCTATATGTTGTCCATGTTATGTAGGCTACTAGTACATCGATGTTCATGAAAGACACCAACAAAGTCAATCACAATATATAGGTTAATTACCGTTGATTGGTTACTTGGCCAGTTACGTCCAGTCACTTGACCAGTTTATGACTTAAATTATTGCCAAACTCAAATGAGATTCAACTTCTCCACCTTAACTAAGGACCAGCATACATGCAGTGTAATATTGGAATGGAATGTATCACATAGCGTTTAAAGAGGTTTAAAGTAAACAGACATACAATGTAACCTTCATGAGCGCACACGAGGCGACGCATGGGTGACCGTCAGGTATTGAGACACTATAGTACCTATATTTTACAAAGGGTTAGTGGAATTATTCACCAATATATCCGTTCATATGCGTAGAGCGGAGAGAACGGATTGTAAGAGATGTGCGGTTACCGTCTAAGGATTTAAGCCTTAATTATCATCCATATACCGAAAATGAGTTTTTTCCTGTCTCTAATGTATTCAATAATGCTTCTACCGGTACCTTTGTTCTGATTTAAAATAATAAAAATTAATCCCATCGAAAATGGAAATTATCGAATGTGTGAATGGCAGTAAATAAGGAATTTTTGGCAAAGGCTAATTATATCCTAAAAGAGCCGTTCATCTCGCTCGATCTTTATCTCCGTTCTCCCAGCTGCCTGCAGGTGTCCGGTGGATGACCTACTTCTTGGCTAGGGTCAGTTTGGGCGACACACCACATATTGATATAGGCCTACAGACCCGTACACAGGTGAGGCGATTTGAAAAAATAAAATGGTTTGAAAAATTCTGAATAAAAATTGGTCTGGGTTGTACATCATCAATGTCATTTTAAAGATGGGTCACCTGAAGGGGCAAAATGTCAGATTTTGTCGAAAAAAAATCCCTCTGGCCGGCTACAGGCTTGAGATTTACACACACACACACACACAAACACATACACACACACACACACACACGTGTAAAGAATAAAGGAACAAGGTTTTAACCACGTGGCGTCAACAACTCTTGGTGGTGTCTTTGCAGAGATCAAACACACGCGCACACACCTGTCTGTACACACCTATAGTTACGCAACATACATGTAGGGCCTACATGTACTGATTATCATGCCCTTCGTACCGGTAGTATGATTTACATTCAGAAAAGTGTACCCTATTTAATTACCCCACCATTAAACTACAATGCCTCTCTCTGTCCTTTCTCTCTCTCTCTCTCTCCCTCTCTCTCTCTCTCTCACGTCCTCCATAATTCAGTTATCGTTGTACACATGTACTCTGCACTTACACGAGCTGACTTGTCCGCCATCTTAGCAGGAATGAGGCGACCCCAGCTGAGGCGAAGTGTGCCAAATAGGTAAACAAAACACTGCAGTGCGAGCGTTAAGAAAGTATACTACTCGCGCCTATTGTTGAACAGCGGCAAGTGTGTTGTAGAAAACTGGTAGAGCTGACATGAAAAACAAATTGCATAAAGGGAAAAATGTAATCATGAAGAGGAGTGCTTTTTTGAAGATTTTAAAGTCCAAATTAAGACTTAGATAACTGATCAGTTTTTGCCATTGATACGGACTGTTAACTACCCGACATATTAGGCCTATTCGCACGAGAAAGGGAGAAAATAGATTAGGGTGTCTGACGTAGTCACTTTTCCGGGTCTATAAAGCAACATGTTGTCCCGAAAGCAAATGGCGATGACAGCTTTAACCGACAGCTTCAAAACCTGGATAAAATGTTCTACAAGAAAACACCAATAGTTGCGACATTGCTAGCGCCGTAATCCGACATTGATATAATCCTATCCACATAATGTGTCCTTTATTTTTTCTCATTGATCAGAAATCAGCGATTATGTTACANAAGTTTTTATGCGAAAAGGTCCACTTTTTCAGAAAAAGAACCCCCTTTTTGAAATTGTTGGCTACGGGCCTGTAAATTAAAGTATTTTTTTTACTCTAGCTCAGATGGGGCTGTACTACGGAACGCAGAACGGACGCCGTCCAGTCTAAAGGGGGCTTAAGGGATACCGCTCGATGAAAAGAACCTCACATACACCCTACTGCAGTCAAGACACCAGACCACATCTTCTTATTTTTCAAATAACCAAATGAGGTCTTATATCGGGCCTAGACTATGCTTTTTCTAGTTGATTAAATTGTACACAGGGCATTTTATAAGAAAAAAAAATAACTTTCATTGCGGTCATTTACGTATGTAGTCATATTTCCAAAGTCTTTGGAAATCCACTCAAAATCTCCTTAATACAAAAAGTGCCTAAATATAGACCCATCAATTCGGCGTTTCGCTTCAACGCCTGAGATAGAAAAACATTCCCGAATTTACAAGTTACTGCCTTGGCTAGCAATATCCAACGTTGAGCTAAAAATGTCGGTAGATGAAATGTTTAACTCTATATGTTGTCCATGTTATGTACTAGTACATCGATGTTCATGAAAGACACCAACAAAGTCAATCATAATATATAGCTTAATTACCGTTGATTGGTTACTTGGCCAGTTACGTCCAGTCACTTGACCAGTTAATGACTTTAATTATTGCCAAACTCAAATGAGATTCAACTTCTCTAACTAAGGACTAACTAAGGACCAGCATACATGCAGTGTAATATTGGAATGGAATGTATCACGTAGCGTTTAAAGAGGTTTAAAGTAAACAGACATACAATGTAACCTTCATGAGAGAACGCGAGGCGACGCATGGGTGGCCGTCAGGTATTGAGACTCTATAGTACCCATGTTTTACAAAGGGTTAGTGGAATTATACACCAATTTATCCGTTCACCAGATTTTTTCAGCGGAGAGAACGGATTGTAAGAGATGTGCGGGTAGAGTCTTAGGATTTAAGCCTTAATTATCATCCAGATACCGAAGATGAGGTTTTTCCTGCCTCTAATTATTCAATAATGCTTCTACCTTTGTTCTGATTCAAAATAATAAAAATTAATCCCATCCAAAATGTAAATTATCGAATGTATGTTATTATAAGGCAGTAAATAAGGAATTTTTGGCAAAGGCTAACTATATCCTAAAAGAGCCGATCATCTCGCTCTTTATCTCCGTTCTCCCAGCTGCCTGCAGGTGTCCGGTGGATGACCTACTTCTTGGCTAGGGTCAGTTTGGGCGAAACACCACATATTGATATAGGCCTATATATACAGACCCGTACACAGGTGAGGCGATTTGAAAAAATAAAATGGTTTGAAAAATTCTGAATAAAAATTGGTCTGGGTTGTACATCATCAATGTCATTTTAAAGATGGGTCACCTGAAGGGGCAAAATGTCAGATTTTGTCGAAAAAAAATCCCTCTGAACTGGCCGGCTACAGGCTTGAGATTTACACACACACACACACATACACACACACACACACACACACACACACACACGTGTACAGATAAAGGAACAAGGTTTTAACCACGTGGCGTCAACAACTCTTGGTGGTGTCTTTGCAGAGATCAAACACACGCGCACACACCTGTCTGTACACACCTATAGTTACGCAACATACATGTACATGTACTGATTATCATGCCCTTCGTACCGGTAGTATGATTTACATTCAGAAAAGTGTACCCTATTTAATTACCCCACCATTAAACTACAATGCTTCTCTCTGTCCTTTCTCTCTCTCTCTCTCACGTCCTCCATAATTCAGTTATCGTTGTACACATGTACTCTGTACTTACACGAGCTGACTTGTCCGCCATCTTAGCAGGAATGAGGCGACCCCAGCTGAGGTGAAGTGTGCCAAATAGGTAAACAAAACACTGCAGTGCGAGCGTTAAGAAAGTATACTACTCGCGCCTGTTGTTGAACAGCGGCAAGTGTGTTGTAGAAAACTGGTAGAGCTGACATGAAAAACAAATTGCATAAAGGGAAAAATGTAATCATGAAGAGGAGTGCTTTTTTGAAGATTTTAAAGTCCAAATTAAGACTTAGATAACTGATCAGTTTTTGCCATTGATACGGACTGTTAACTACTCGACATATTAGGCCTATTCGCACGAGAATGGGAGAAAATAGATCAGGGTGTCTGACGTAGTCACTTTTCCGGGTCTATAAAGCAACATGTTGTCCCGAAAGCAAATGGCGATGACAGCTTTAACCGACAGCTTCAAAACCTGGATAAAATGTTCTACAAGAAAACACCAATAGTTGCGACATTGCTAGCGCCGTAATCCGACATTGATATAATCCTATCCACATAATGTGTCCTTTATTTTTTCTCATTGATCAGAAATCAGCGATTATGTTACATGTAAGTTGTTTGCATTGGTGAATAGTCCGTATTATCAAGCCTTCCTTTCCTGGATATAACATTACAGTACAATCTATGCTAATTATACGTAATCAGAATAATAACACGATTTGCTATTGCACCGGTGTAGTAAAAATTGATTTAAGACCAGACAAAATCGATGTTTACTAACTAGCGCGACTTGCCCTAATTTTGAGGAATTTTGAATTTTTTAAATTGGAAATTGTTCTTTCCAACACGCGTGTTTTGGAAGTAAATGACTTACATCATAAAATAGGGGCAGGGGCAGATGATATTAGGGTTTCATAGGCTTTTTTTTCTAGCATGGCATCTCAAACAATTCACTTCCATTGGTACATGTAGCCCACTGACACAGTTTGATGAACTTTCGTAGACCAGAAAATGTTTTACTGATGTACATGTATAATATGAAGGACAAAAAATATTTTACTTAAATATTTCCTTTATTTTACTGACATCAACCAATGCTGTTGACATTGTTGTCCTGAGATAACGATGACAATAAACAATAACAACAGCTTAACAATATATTTCCTAAATTGCAGTAATATATTTATTAAAACAACAAGAACGAGAAGAACTCTAACAGAAGAACTCAACTATCTCATGAGAACCCTTGTTTGACAGCAAAAATGAAAGTTAAAGCTAGAGAGACCTATACAACAAGTACCGTCTATTGTTGAGACTGTTTTACTGTACATCGTTTTGTAAATCACATTTACCCTACAATTCTATTTTTTAATTAACACGTCTCAGAATTATACTTTCACTCTTTTGAATTAACGAGGTCCCGATGCATTGTCCATGCGACAGTACTTTAAAGTTGGGAACTGAATGCTGATTTTTTACTTGGCAAACGTTAAATTACCATATTTAACAAGAACAAAACCCACTTTCATAAATAAAAATAATAATAATGATAATAGTAATGGGTTACAGACGTGAGTTAAAGCTACCGGTAGGTGGTTGGCCAGAGGAGACCAATTCAGGTATAGCAGCTTTATTTGAAATATTCAAGCTGTAGTGCATTATAGAGCAATATTTGATGAAATAAAAAAGACAATTAGAAAATCATAAAACCTTTCAACAAAATATTCTATGGTAGTACTATGTCCTAAGCGAATATGTACTATGTCCTAAATGACCTAAGCGTCAACATGTGTCTCAGCAAATAAAAAAAGGAAAATATTGTATGGCAGTATTAATTAAGATGTCTTTGAGAACACTGGTACATCAAATGCAATTGCATTTTCTTGGGGACTAAAAAGCTTTTAGGTTTCACTACAAAACAATAACTTACAAAACATAAATATGACTAGAAAAATATCAACAAATTTGGCAAGCGACAAATCAATTGCCAACAAATATGACTGAAATGTGCGCTAATATTTTTGGCAAAACATAGATAAATATATTAAATCAACTTTTCTTTTTCAAACCTCTCACTTCTTTCAGTACGCCCCCCCCCCTTGTTAGTGTTTGAGAATTCACCACTCTAAGTTACAAACACACTTCCTAAGATGTGCCCTACAAACTTGCTTTTCAAAACTTTTCTTGACTATAAACACCAAACACTTCTTTTAATAATATAATAAATATAAGTAAGTTTTCTATTCAAAGTAAGGGAGCAATTAGTACTTGTCCTTGACCTTCAGGATAAAGAGGTGAAGGTTATTAATTTGAATGGCAACTTATTAAGAGGATGGCAAGAGGATGTGAGATAGCCACACGGGAGAACTGACCACAACAATGACTGCCAGGGAGAGTTGGGTAATGACTCTATTTTTTTTTAATGGGGAATAATTATCAATCTTTGAATATATAATTTTGGAATCATAAAAAATATGTTTCTGTGTGCCATTTGTTGTGCTTTTTCTCTTCAGAACAGTACTATAGGATAGCCAGCTTTAGCGTTTTGTTTCAATCACTCAGTAGAAATGTTCCATTTTTCAGAATTTCTGGATTGAAAAATTACAGAAAAATTCCCTTTTTCCCCCCTATTGAAAATATTGAGTCATTACCGTACATACATGTATCAATCTATAAGAAATCACAACTAACAAAATTAACAAAACTAAACACCACTGTTCTCAATCACTGTCCTGAAATTCATCGAAGTTCTCGCCCTGCACAATTTCTGATTGATGATACCGCCCTCTATTGGCAAAATCATCATTGTCTTCTGTCAACTGGGCGGCAAAGGTTCTCACTGCTGGTGTTGACGGTGTAACGACAATTTCCTCTGCAGGTTGTGGTCCACGTCTACAGCAATGAGATACACCATCCCTTATCCACTCTAGGAGACTAAACTCTGCTATACCTGGAGGAATAAAGACAATTATTTAAGTAAATATTATCAACTGAAGCTTTGAAAAACAGGATAATTTATGTACCGGGTACTGCACTTTAACACATGCCTGCATTTTGATTTTTTTTATTTCCCAAGCAAAATATACATGTGCTACCATCCTATTGTTACAACTACTCGGTTTTCACTGTAGGCCACATACAAGAGCTAATTATATCTCATTTTAAAAATTATCATAAACAATACTTTCCTTTAAGCATGAAGCAAAAAAGACCTTCAGTAATTGGAGATTTCTTAAATAAAAAAACATGACATGACAAAACTACATGTTTAATATACACTTTATGTTGTAAGTTGAAATGTAAATAAACTCAGCCATCTTTGTTTTGGCTGTCATTTTGTAAAGAATACATTAGCAGTACTTACCAGGAAAAACTCCTGGGTTGACTTTACTGATGTATATATAAATAACTAGAACAACACTAACTGTGACCAAGGCATAGATCCATTGAATGCCAAACATTATGACTAGACAGGCTATGGACTGAAAAAATGAACAAATATGGTCAAATACTAGTAAATATGGTAAAATAAATAACAAATAAATAACAAAGAAGACATTATAAAATATACCCATGTATGGTGCGCGATGAACATAATTCTTTTTTTGCTTCAACTTTTAATTATCAATATATTTATGATATTTTCAGAATTTATATTCTCTATATTATTTTGCTTGTAATAGAACTGGGGTTCTTTTTCATTATGGGATATTTAACAAATTTAAAAGTAATTTAAAATGAATATGATTTCTTTTGTGTGAAGGCTTCTTTTTTCCTTTTTTTATAGTAAACAGATTAATTTAGTTGTGTAGTTCACTACTTACTCCTATGAGTGATAGCCACCTGTTCACAAAAATGGAATAGTAGGATCTGGGCATACGGTGGATTTCTGTGTTTACTGGCTTAGGGTTACCTAAAATGATGCAAACAAATAAACAAGATGAGGAAAGATTTACACATTTAGTCAATCATCTCTCTTCAGAATAACTATATGGCTAAGAAAAAAGAAAGTTAAATTGTCAGAAGAAAACCATATTATACTTTGGATTAATATAACTGATACTAATGCTCACAATGGATTAAAAAAAATTAACTAAACAAATGACTGAAAACTTGCTCCTCTTCCCCAACTTTGTTCACTATGAAGCATGTCAAATGTTTTGATTTTAATTGCTTGTTTCACTTAAATTATAATATATATAATGTCACTTCAACAACAGATGAGCTTTAACAGTGAAACAAATATGTGTTTGTTTCATGAGTTTTCTTGTAAATTTGCAATTTTGGTGCAAAAAGAGATTTGGTGCAAAAACAGATAGATGCATTTTTTCTTTTCAGTTTTTACAGTTCTATCAGAGCTACCGTTTTTTTTTCCTCTGGTACATATTTTTAGTTGTTAGTTTTAAGTTTTCAGTTTCATACGTTATATTTGAAAATTCTAGTGAGAGACCCACTCTCATACAAATCTCACCAGACTGTTTATCAAGCAACTCTGTTGTAGCGTCGGCTTCCGCCCCTCTCTCAACATGCTCCCCATCAACATGTTCCTTCCCAGAATTCTCAGCCTGTTTCTGAGCCTTAGACACAGGGCTCCCTTGCTGCTGCTTCTTTGGTGACCTTTTCTGCTGCACCGCAGTGTGTTTCTGATCAAACAACAACCTTTCTGGAAACAAATTATCCAGATCTGCCGTGTTATCTGGTATGTTCTTTGGAGGTAGATCATTGGAGACCTTGTCAGTGGAACCGTAATTGTGATTGGCGTTATTATTCTCCTGGTCACTCTTTCTTCCTCCCACCCCTCCCCCTACTGAGGAAATCGCAGGTTTCAGCAAACCACTGCTGTAGCGCTCTTCCTTCCTCTTTCGCTTTTGAAAGCTCATGGCTAGAGAGAAATAGGCGAAATCCACGGAGGCGTACGTCAGCATGAAGGGCATGGTGACGATAGGTGCCAGGATGTTGACGTTCCCGATGCAGATGAAGACCAAGGAGATCACTGTGATGGCAAGGAGAGCAAAGACTGGAACCTTGTTAGGGCCTCTCTGGAAGTTATGTTTACAAATAGCTTTATAAAAGATGACAAAACTACAGGAACAGAAACACTGAAACCTTAATTGTTAGGACCTCTCTGGAAGTTATGTTTACAAACAGCTTTATAAAAGATAACAAATCTAGAGGAACAGAAACACTGAAGCCTTAATTGTTAGGACCTCTCTGGAAGATACATTTACAAATAGCTTTATAAAAGATGACAAAAAATATGATTTTAATATGGAAAAATAACTACAACAACACAAGCTGTGCTAAATAAATATAGCTGTTGTAAGAATAAAGGTTTGTCATGGCTAATCTTGATCTATATACTGAGTAGTTATTGCTCTCCAATTAATTTTCTGTCTAGCAGTCTACTACATAATAAAGGCTTCCTGGCAAAATATTCATAGGAATAAAAGTTTAATTGGATCATCATTATTTAAAACCATATGTAAAGTTGACAAGACAAATATCATCTGCAAGCATGCAGATGATATCCATGAAGACTATTCAAGTATCCCCCCATACATGTAACTGTCTTATAAGGGTGAGATAAAAAATGAAATTTACCCCTTGTCCAAGGAACTTGATAACTGGAATGACATTTTGTTTTGCTATGGACTGCAGAATTCTTGGAGATCCATATAAACTGCCCATACAGGAGGAAATAGATGAGATGTACAGGCCTGCAAGGAACAAGAAGCCTAGGGCTGCCACCTGGAGGACAAACAAAACAACATCTGTTTGACTTTTTTGTATTCTTACTATAAAATTATTTATTGTCTAAGATTGTATAGCAGTATATATACAAATCCACTAAATGAGATGACAACTATGATCTGATGAATCTCTTTTGACCAAAAAAAGCTCTACTTTGAATTGAACCTCAGTCTAGGATGAATGTACCGGTACTGCAGCCAGGCTAGTACTCGTACATTGTAATACAAATGAAGTTCTAAATGGAGTACTCACCTTCTCTGCAATCATATAATCCTCTCTGAGATAGTCCCTGGCACAGGTGGAGCCCAGGATCATAGTGAACATTAAGTACAGAAAGGTGCTGAAATAGAGGACAATTGCTCATTTAAAAATCAGCAATGACCATGTAAGCTACTGAGAACAAATGGAAAGTATTCACAGACAGACAAACCAAATTATAAAATAAAATGTACAAATGAATATATCAGTCAACCAATAAGGTGTAACATATCATCTCTCCCACTAAACTGATCAATCAATCAAGGCATATTCTTTTCCTTTTATATTAACAAATGTATCCTTAGGATACACTTTCTAATGCTGATGCTTCTCACCTGACTTTGACCTTCACATAACCTAACCTGAGGCTCTCACCTGACTTTGACCTTCACATAACCAAACCTTTCAACTGACCTTGACCTTCCACCTAACCTTGACCTCTCACCAGACCTCAGCCTATCATCTGACCTTGATCTTTCATTCAACCTTAACCTCTCACCTGACCCCTACAGCAGCCAGGGTTCCTACAGGGATGTCCTTGGAAGGGTTCCTCAGGTCTCCACTCATGTTGATCCCGGCAAAAGCACCTGTTGCGGTGGGAAAGAACACTCCAAACACTGAGAAAAATGACTCCCCTGCCAGGTAGGCAGGTGCTGTGTTGTTGACCAGGTTTATTGTAAGGTAACCTGTTACACCATACTCTGGAACCACACAAATATTAATGAGAGTGAAATATACATGTTAAACCAAGATATATTTGGAAAAACAAATATTTGCTTTTTTTTTCTTTTTTATTCATTACACGGCTATAAATTTTCTTTCAATTTGATGATTTTAATCACATTATAATGTACAAATAAATGTTTCCTGAAATTGGTGAAATACTACACATCCTCCAGTAAAGCATTTCACTCTTAGCCTACTATTAATTGACTTTTCAGATTTTTAGAGATACTTATTTACATGCTTCTTTCTGATCAGAGATGGTTTCTTATACTAATTGACAATCAGTTGAGATTATACCTATATCTGTATGGACAAAGGAGCCTACAGCAAAGTCCATGACTGCCACAGCCAGTATAAATAACAGCAGCAACTGCAGCCGTATCACCCACTTTACTCCTGCTATGTTAATACCTAGAAAACAAAAGAGAAAAATAATTACATTTATGGTAAAAACTGAGTAATTGCTTCGTTAGAGACTAAAGCTATTTTCTCACAATGAGAAATGTTTTAACCTTTGCTCAAAGGAGCTTGAGGTTAATTGTATGGAGGATAAAAGGATGGCACTCAAGATAAAACAGGAGTTGGGAGGGGGGGGGAGGTTTCCAGGCTTTGATCATGGCTCTGGCACTATCGCACATACACATCAACACATACATAAACTCTAACACCAAAACTCACATACACATGCAAGCATGCATTTCACAAACAAACACACACACAACCTACCTAGTAATAATAAGAGCACAGCAGCTGCTATGCCCCTTGCTATCCAGGGATCAAAGTCAGGATCTATAAATGCTGCAATGGACTCCCCAAAGCCCATGGTGTACAGGGAACAGGAGACAGCCTGCAAATGAAAACAGCCCAGTTGAACAGGCTGGCGCACAGCTCTGTCAGGCCCAAAGCCGGGGATTGGGGGGGTGGGGAGGTTGAAAGAACTGCTCTTTCTGGTGGGAAAAGGTTCCCTCTGGATAAAATTTTATCCAAGTACACAAAGGTTTCATGGTAAAAGGTCCACTTTTTTTCAGAAAAAGAACCCCCTTTTGACATTGCTGGCTACTGTACAGGCCTGTGGTGATATAACACACTGGTAGCAGGGTGGAGGTTGGAATTATTGGCCCTTGGAAACACTCCTGTCTGTACACCAACCCACATACAAGCATCTGTACTCTTTTTTTTCATCTAAAAATATTAACTTTAACAATTAAGCTTTAACTGTTTAAATTACTACTTTCAAAAGGCATAAATAGGGTGGCTAGAGGCTGATTATTTTAAAAATATGGAGTATCTATGCTGCATCAATGCAGAAAAGGTTCTTTGCTACTGGAATTAAAAAACATATTTAATTAACGTTTTTAATTAACAAAAAATTATTATAATAGACAATAACAGAAAATCAAAGATAACAGCAATTCAAATCAGTATAGGAAATACAAAATTTAATCGATTTCCTCATATAGCGTCTTACCTGACCAAAGCAATAGATCACTCCAATAGATGCTCCTATCTTGGCCCCGAGAACATGAGACAGTAGGAAGAATATCCCTCCGCTCTCCATCTGACATCTCTCACACACTCCTATTGCACTCAACACACTGACCAGTGCCACACCTATGGTCAGACAGATGATCAGGATGGACAGACCAATGCCTGCATTGCCCTGGAGAACACAGTGTATGTGTGTGAGGAACAGAATGGCTGGGCCTGGCACAATATGGATAGGCTAGCAACTAAATTAATGGTTTGGCCAATTGTACAAGTTCAGCCAGGAATACAAAGGCTGAGTCAACATCTATGGTGGAGACAGATTGTGGTAGCTGAGATTTAAGCTGATCACAATCAGTGGTTGAAGACAGATTGTGCTAGTTGAGACTCGAGCTGTTCACAATCAGTGGCAATTTTTGAAAACTTTAAAAGAATCCGATCTGCCATGTCAATAAATGGGTAATTGAAAAGTTTTCTCTTCCTCACTCAAAGAATATTTACCAGTGGCTGACTCTTTCATGCATTGCAAAAAATAATTTTGAAAAATTAAGATAAAATCTGAATAATTCCTTGGCGTTCAATATGATAAATTAAAAGTTTTTATACCTGGCAGAAATATTCACCATTCATAAAAACTTAATCAAATACATTTCTTTCCTGTAGATGTCAGCACTTACCACCATCCATCCTGTACGTAAGAAGATAATTATGCCAAATATGTTAATCATACAGGACGTGAACACGCCATCCCATGGACCAAAGAGAACAGGTTCTGAGATGAAGAAATTCAGCTTCCACCATGGTTTACTGGAGGCACTCTGAAGGAAGAAAAATTAATAAATAAATAAATAAATAAATAGATAAGATAAGATAATGATGCAATAACTGACCACATAATAAATAAATAAATAAATAAATAAATAAATAAATAAATAATGATGCAATAACTGACCATTACATGTAGATAAATAAATAAATAAATAAAATAATGATGCAATAACTGACCATTACATGTAGATAAATAAATAAATAAATAAAATAATGATGCAATAACTGACCATTACATGTAGATAAATAAATAAATAAATAAAATAATGATGGAATAACTGACCATTACATAGATAAATAAATAAATAAATAAATAAATATCACAACCTAACTCAAAAGCTGAGTCAAGATAAAATCTTGATAACAATTCTGAAGCATGGATACATTTTCCCTGCAAGCTGAAAACAGCAATCAATAATCCCCTGACTGCTTACACAGGAAGTTTACATTCTTTCTGCACATGCCAAAGCCAGATATAATATAAATCAATACCTTCATGAACACCATATACATCTTAATTAATAAACAGGGGACTTGTCAGGGAGGATCATCTTAGTCCAGTTCTGCTGGGAAAGATAAGCTTACAAGATTGATTGCACAATGTAAACACAAGTTATAGAGAATGGAGGAAATGTGGATCCAGGAAAACAACAGGGGAGGGGCTTTGAGAGATGATATCAGAAACTTATAGTCCGAATCAAGAAATCACAATGCAGTATGCATGTAACAATACATATTATGAATAATGTAGATCTGGAGAAACAACAGGGGAAGCAGTTTGAGAGATGATATCAGAAACTTCTGGTCTGAGTTCAGAAATCACAATGCAATACATACCAGTATTATAAATAATGGAGATCTGGGAAAACAACAGGGGAAGCGGTTTCAGAGATAAAATTAGAAACTTTTACTCGCAGTCACGAAATCATAATGTTACAATACATATTATATTTTTATAAAACATTTAGATGTCTTCATTATTACCTATGCAAGTGTGAAAATTCTAACATTATGAAGTTTTTCATATATGAAACCCCTTTGTAAAAACTGACAAAGCAATCTTTAATTGGATCCATGTTTAAATTAATAAAAAATTGCATTCCAAACAGTGATAAAATCTTTGGATATGCATTCTCAACAACTAACACCACCAGGTAATTACAGCTGCAATTGTATTTTGAATAAATAGAAAAAGATTATTCTTCCTCAATCTTTTCAATAACTATGCTAATATGGAGGAGTAAGCAGAAAGGCAGTCACAAAGAATTAATAGAAAAACATGACTCTTCCTCAATCTTTTCAATAAGTATGCTAATCTAGAGAAGTAATGAGCAGAAAGGCAGTCACAAAGACAAGGGCAATCTGCAGGTTTTCAATCACAGTGCATGAGCAAGCAATCATGTCAACTCCCATAAACCGAAACCGACAACCGCAATCTACAGAACCAAGCTTATTACAGTTCTCATAAACTAAAATCAATATCCTGATCAGCGAGCTATGATGAATCAAAGACCGAACTTCCTGGAAAACCTTTCAAGGAATATATGGGCAAATCAGATAGAATCACAATTAACGTTGTACAAGTCTATATGCAGCAGAGCAGAAATCCACCAAGCAGATATTGTGGCAAACTGAAGAAGGTCAACTTGCCAGCTGGTACCATAAAAGCTGCTCTCAATTATACTATACTATTGATTACTGATATTGTATATTTTTAGATGTGTGACATCTAAGCTGAATAAACCTTTATCTATCTATTTATCTATCTGTACTGAAAGGGTTTATTCTTACATATAGCTGCTGATAGTAAAACTTGTATTGGCTGGTGTATTTCAAATTCATTTTAACTATGATACAGGCCAAAACCAAAGCTATTAAAATACATAAATGTTTCACGAGTCCACTGAAATTTAATTTGAAGTATAAAATTACATGATACAATGTAACAAGTTAAGCTGTCATATTTTGACCACTGCATGGCATGTGGTTTTATTCCATTCCTATCGAAACATTGACACCACTCAGTGTATATAATCTGTTAATGTGTATGTACATATAGTGAGAGTGTATACATTCAAGTAATATAGTGTGACACAGCTGCTGCATACTCAGCTATACGTATATATATCTGGTATCATGTAGTCAGACTTAACAGGGTCCACCAGGTCAAATATGATTAATTATCTGGTTCCAGCAGGTCAATGACCTCCAGTTAATGTAATATTGTATGTCTGGTCAAGAAAATTAGAAACACTAAATCTGGTATACAAGATCTTCTGTTGAAAACATCTCAGCTGAATGAAAATCAAAATATAATCTATCACTTAAGATTTTCACAAAAAAGAATGGAAAGTACATTTAAATATTATATGTTCACATTCTGTTTTAAAAGATTTTGTCACATGCTATTTAATAGTGCTCAGATAAATTAATTAACTGTATCTGGTTTAAAATTTAGATGGATTAAACCTCTGTCTGCCAATTCACAATTAACCTCTTTAAAAGAAAATTCTGTTATTTGTTATCATATAGAAATTGCCATTAATCGTGTTTCCAAATCTGAAGAGTGTTTTAGGTTTATCTCTTCATAAAATTAATTTGCATAGTGTCATTTCACATGTTTGGTTTGTTTTTTAACTCTTTTTTTATTAACTAAGTTAATTATTAATTTATCAACTTATGTATTTTTGAATGTTGCTGTTACAAAACGGTGCCTGTCACACCCAGTACCTGCACTACAGTATTTCTATTTCTGACTGTTCTACCCATGCAGTAGCTATACACCCTAGTATTTCTAAACAAAAAATAATCCAACACTGCCCAATGCCCTAGGTGAAGCCCTATATTAATTCCTGTCTTGAATCAATCCCTGGGCATTCTTGGAAACCAGGGCAGCAAAATGTAACAATATGTTTCCTGAACTTGAAGTAGACATGTCAACATGCTGATTTAGTCTCCACTTTCAGAGCCATAAATGTTATTATGTTGCTCCACAGAGAGCCGATGGCATTATCTTTCTGCTTTAGGAGTCATCAAATAGGCGGAGAATTCATCTTCCTAGAAATCAAAGCTGCTATATATTTCCCATTGGTGAGATAGCCAGTGGAAGAGATTCAAGTTGATAGTGTACAGATTGTGAAAAAAAGGACCAGGAAAAATGTCATCCAAGAAAAAGAAATAATGGGGATAGTGATTGTTAATGTGTAAGTTGCAAAAAAAAAAAAAAAAAAAAAAAACTCTTCCAGGCTCAGGTAACATATATTAGGATCACTTGGGCTCTGCCAATATTATATAATGTATTTTTCTTAAAAGTAGTCCTACTATATCACTATTTAATATAATTCATACTTATTTATAAGTGCATTCCTATTGTACATTTTCATCTACCCATGTAGATGCATACGATATACAATGAATAAAGCATATATTAGGAGAAGAAATACAATTTTTTCTGTACAGGATGCTAAGAAAAAGTTTCCATAAAATAACTTAATAAATCAAGTACTTCTGAAAAAAAAGGGCATTTTAAAAGAAGAGTTACATACTAGTATCCACCCCCACCCTCCTCTCACAATATGCCTTTTCCAGACACTGCACTGGTGGGGAGGAATAGAGTGGAGTTCTCAATTATTAATAATAATAATAAAACNTAATATATTTATTTCGAGTCTAAAATCCATAAAATGTTCAACAGACTGTACAACATAAAATGCAAAGAAGTTTATAAATAAAAAATAGTTAAGATATATATTATATAAATCAGAACTAGACTAAATTGTAATAAACAGTAATAAAAGTAAAAAAATCCAAGGTTTCTTTAATGTAAAATTAAAAATTCATGAACAAAATGTCTTAAAAATGTGATTCTATTCGTCTAATAAAAATTAGCAACTTATTCCACTCTACTGGTGCAGCTACACAAAATGATATGTCACCATATGTTTTTAACTTTGCTTTGGGAACTTTCAATTATGACCACAGTCTGAAAATTCAGGGAACATTCTGATCCAACTCACCTGGTCCTCAGCAAACAGTTCATTCTTATTCTTCCCATCATGCTGATACACTTCATCCTGGTGTGGAGGGTGCTGGCTCTCCAGCTGCTGTTCTTTGCTCAGTCCAAAGCGCCCCCAGTCAGGTAACCTCTCCTGCTTACCACTGGACGACACCAAGTTCGTACTCTCTGAATCTGAGGTATCTGCCATCTTGGAAATGTTGCCTATAAGTAGAGGTCATATTGTACTTGTTCATTTGTTGAGTTCAACTTTTAATACTGACATATGCATGGCATTTAACCACTGTTTGTAACAATGCAGCCCAAATAAACAACTTTTTTTACTGTATTTTCAAGGGTGAACAAATACTTAATTTAACCTTTAAATGTTTTTTTTTATTCTGATTGCACTAAATCCACTTATGACATGAACAGCAAAGGTCCAACATTTCCATTCTCAAGATAGTGATTCTTGAGTTATAATAAATTCAACAGTATCAGTGTGCATATGGTACTGTCCCACACATTTCTGGAAAACTCTGCATTGTAATTTCAAACAATAACAATAATGTAGCAATCTTTAACATAGCAGCGCCTTTATATATTGTGTTAATGCATTCTTATTTCCCCAGTCTTATAGCCAGCAATTGCATCTTTTTTCCCCCAAAGTCTTTATATTGTGGCACATTTCCAATTCAAAAATAACAAATATTTAACATTTTTTGTCTTCAAATCCTTTACATTGTGGTACACTTGCAATGCTAAATTACCTTCAATTATATCACTCCTACACTTGGCTCCTTCTGTCTAAGCCTTAAAACACTGCGGTATTTTCATGATGAATCCATAATAACCGTTCATCAGAAAGCAATTGTCAGCATCAGTGGCAATATCATTAAATACCCATTAAAGTTCAATCTCCATTTACCACTCATCTGTCTTCTTGCTCTGAGTGAAGTAAGTGGCAAAGCAGCGAGTCTTTTAATAGAAGTGCAACAAGCTAGCTGCCTACACAGCTTCATTATGTGACAGTGACTATATCTGGTTGCCTTGACAACCACTGTGTACATATACTGCAAATGTATCTGGCTCTGCAGGAAGAAGAATACTAATTCTTCTGCAAACAGGAACTGTTTCAACAACAGTGGGCAGAAAATAAATGCTATATTCTTTCTAAAATTGGATAATACTTACACCTGCTTTATACATGCATGTTCGAAGTGGGGATGATGAAAATTGAAAGGTTGCTCATAATATATTAATTGTGTATTTGCTAAATAATTTCTATTCACTTTCAATGTACATGCTCTGAGTTTGAGAGAAAGAGAGTTATCTTGAGGTGCTACATGTATATGGTGGATTGCAATTAAGCAGACTTTCCAATACTTCACCAGTACTAAGATATGTATACATACAGTAGACATCTCATGCGTAACTTCTGATGACCTCTCACCGTGTGACCACATGTAAGAAAGACCACATATATTATTAATACTGCCTATCATTGTGCATGCATCATTTTGTTACCTATTTAATTAGAACTTACAATATTTCACACCCGCTGAACCCATCAAGACAGTTTTTATACTTCTACAGGTAAATGCATAATTTCTGCCAGGCAAACTGTGACAGCAAATTAATGCATCAACATAGCTAGGAAAAAAAGCATACCAGCATGATAATTTGAGCGATTCTTTTTTTCCACAACACATGGTGATATAATTGAGAAGATTGTATCCCTGTATATATATCCCTAGATATCAGGGCAACAACTTATAGCTGTTAACTGAGAATTGTATCCATTCCATGCACTTCAAAACATAAATCATAATTTTGAATTTATTGATTTCAGATATGACTATTTCTTTTCACTTAAATTATAATCATTATCTGTTTGACAACTACCAAATTGTAATAACGACATTGATACTAATACCTTGATGGCAGACCATTAGGAGCAAATACCACAATTTTTTCACAAAATGACAACAGTGACCTAATTTGTCTTCAACAACAGATGGAAGATTGCCATTTTGTATTATTGTGTGTTTTTCTTTTTTTTTTCAATCTTTTTGACGTGATTTCAAAAGCAAAACTTACAAACATGTACAAATTAAGCTGAATGATAACTTGAGTGGTGTGTTAATATGGTAAAAGTGGCAAAAAGGTTAAAAGTTTGCAATTTAAAGATGCAGCAAGAGTTCAAACCTGTGCAGTATAAAACCTCAAAGAGTTGGTAGTGTGAAAATATGACATCTAATGATTTATAATCAAAGATGGAGTCAATCTTTTGAAAACACCTGGGGGTAAAAGCGAGAGAGAGAGAGAGAGAGAGAGAGAGAGAGAGAGAGAGAGACCTGCATGCTGAGGGAATTGTCCATGACCACACAATAATAATAACCTCTTACTTTAAACTCAAGATGAACATCTTAGAGATGTCAACAGCTGCCAAATGACTGCCTTATCCAGGGTGTAAGTAACAAAAAAACATAAAACCCAAGAGAATGATATATGCCATATATCACTAGTGGTTATATAGTAGCTACCAGAACCATTGATTTTTATTAAACCCCCACAGTACGTGACTCTGTATCATAACATGTTACCTGGTGCACAAGGTCATGCAGTAAGACTTGGAGAAAATACTCATACAAAATTTTTATTGTGCCTGATATGTATCTGTACGATTTATTCTGCACATTAGGTTTTGCTTTGTCATATGTAAAGGATGAATGCATGCGTGGATGCAGGCATACATACAACATGCACAGAGAGAGAGAGAGAGAGAGAGAAAGAGAGAGAGAGAGAGAAATAAGTAAGCCACACACAAACCAACCTTCACATCATTATGACAGGAACCATTAATCTTCTTCTGAAGCATGAAAGCCTAAAAACTTCTCATATCACAATAACCCCAGCATTATAAACTAAAAAGCAATTCTCACACAAGCTCACTATGGGAAAATAGTCTCTTTTCCAATTACCGTACCCCATGGGAAATAAAGCAGTGTATGATACAACCATTGCACACCATTCAATCCTGTGTATAGATGGCTAAAGCTCCCCAGGTGCCTTCATTACCTGTTTCCACTGGGACATACTGCAGTAGAAACTGTTTACCAGATAGTTACAATAATGATTACTTTTAAGTCCATATAAACAGGTGATTATACTAATGATTCATTGCAGGCTCAGTAATGCTCTTTGTTACACTGGTTTGATAGAATTTTTATTTCTCAAAAGTTGTAAATGAGAGTTAAATGAAATTTTGTTTTATTCTACACTGTACTACAAATGGTCTTGTATTCAACATTAACACATGTTCCATGATGGTGCTGCCATGCAGTCTTATTTTTATTTCCTTCCTTTCTTTTCTTATTTTCTTTTTCCTATTGGATACAGGCCACTGGCAACTATTTTATCTTTACATATATATTTAAAACAAATGTCTATTGGATTTTACCTTCATTAAAAAACAATATACTGGTTGGCCTACAACACTAAGGGCTCATTCCCAATGTAACTATCGGTCTATGTAGATGGATCCAATTCAGCAGGGACTTTCACTGAACGCAGTCAGTTTAACATCCTGGCATTGGAAACAAGATTACCGTTAGTCTGTTTAATTGATTGCATTCAGCCAGAGTCCCAGGGAGTTCAATTGATCTACAAAGACCGATAACTTCCAATGGGAATGGGCCCTCAGGCCTCCATAGTGCCTGAAGCTTACAAGAATATTATCAATGTTCTGTGTCTATGGGGACTCTTAACTTGTGTCTACAGGGACTCTTAACCATCTCATGTTGCTGGGTATTAACAATGGTGACATCAGGTGTCCTTTTGAAACTAGAATGAATGCCTGCATGGATACAGTCATCACTCTATCTTTTTAACGGGGAAAATTATCAATCTTTCAGGTTTATAATTTGGAATTATTAAAAATAAATTTCTGTAAGCATTTATGGTGTTTTATTGTTTAGAATAGAACAATAGGGCAGCTAATTTTTATATATTGGAGTTACATCTCAATAGAAATGCTCTAACTTTACTAATTTATGACTTTAAAAAATACAACCTATTTATAAATTTTAAAAGGTCTGTTTAAACAAAGACAATCAACTGAGACTGGGTTCCCATGCCTAGATTGATCCATCTGGATCCTCACTGGGCAGTCTCACTAAATTGCTATCAACTCAACTGGCTTAAATGTCTGTCACGCCTACCAAATCAGCTAGGTTAAAGATAATTACCCCCTAAAAAATTTACTAAGCGTGACAGACACTTATGCTGGTTAAGTTGATAGCAATATAGTGAGACACTCCAGGGAGATAGATCGATCCAAATATCTGTGGGAATGGTCCCTAAAATATATAAATAAATAAACTCTTAACAATTTTCCAAAGTCTTATCTTAAAAATATCCTAGTGTTTTGCGTTCTAAAACACATCTATTTTGTAATCTTCACCTTATTTTAATCTATGAAAATAGAAAGTAAAACAAGGCAGCAAAGCTGTCAAATGTACAGACAAAAAACAGAAAATAAAGATGCAAAAAAGGTCATTTTGTTAATTTTGATGCAATAATAAATAATGCTTATAATAGCACTATCAGTCAACACTGAATTTTATAATCATGCACAACAGGTAAAATGGTCAATAACATGAGCNTAAATAAAACTTAAATGAAAATACAAAAAAGTTAATATGATACTAACAAAGCTCCGTATAAATGAGAGTTAAATGAAATTTTGTTTTATTCTACACTGTACTACAAATGGTCTTGTATTCAACATTAACACATGTTCCATGATGGTGCTGCCATGCAGTCTTATTTTTATTTCCTTCCTTTCTTTTCTTATTTTCTTTTTCCTATTGGATACAGGCCACTGGCAACTATTTTATCTTTACATATATATTTAAAACAAATGTCTATTGGATTTTACCTTCATTAAAAAACAATATACTGGATGGCCTACAACACTAAGGGCTCATTCCCAATGTAACTATCGGTCTATGTAGATGGATCCAATTCAGCAGGGACTCTCACTGAATGCAGTCAGTTTAACAGATTATGATGCCTCTTCCTGGCATTGGAAACAAGATTACCGTTAGTCTGTTTAATTGATTGCATTCAGCCAGAGTCCCAGGGAGTTCAATTGATCTACAAAGACCGATAACTTCCAATGGGAATGGGCCCTCAGGCCTCCATAGTGCCTGAAGCTTACAAGAATATTATCAATGTTCTGTGTCTATGGGGACTCTTAACTTGTGTCTACAGGGACTCTTAACCATCTCACATTGCTGGGTATTAACAGTGGTGACATCAGGTGTCCTTTTGAAGTAGAATGAATGCCTGGTTACAGTCATCACTCTATCTTTTTACTGGGGAAAATTATTTCAGGTTTATAATTTGGAATCATTAAAATTATATTTCTACATATAGCATTTATGGTGTTTTACTGTTTAGAATAGAACAATAGGGCAGCTAATTTTTAAATTTTGTAGTTACATCTCAATAGAAATGCTCTAACTTAACTAATTTATGACTTTGAAAAATACAACCTATTTGTAAAATTTTAAAAGGTCTGTTTAAACAAAGCCAATCAACTGAGACTGGGTTTCCATGCTTAGATTGATCCATCTGGATCCTCCCTGGGCAGTCTCACTAAATTGCTATCAACTCAACTGGCCTAAATGTCTGTCACGCCTACCGAATCAGCTAGGTTAAAGATAATTACCCCCTTAAAAATTTACTAGGCGTGACAGACACTTATGCTGGTTAAGTTGATAGCAATATAGTGAGACACTCCTGGGAGATAGATCGATCCAAATATCTGTGGGAATGGTCCCTAAAATATATAAATGAATAAACTCTTAACAGTTTTCCAAAGTCTTATCTTAAAAATATCCTAGTGATTTGCGTTCTCCAACATATCTATTTTGTAATCTTAACCTTATTTTAATCTATGAAAATAGAAAGTTAAAAAATTACACCAGTGACTTGGCACAGAAAAGTTACATCAGATACTAGTACAGAGGCATACCTGCAGTCATAGATCTAAATATTCACTTTTCATGGGACAATCTAAGGAAGATGTGGCTCACCAGGCAAACATACTGAGACTGCACCCTTCTCCATCAAATAACTGACATAATTTTCTACATCTGTAACATATTAGAAAACATGAAATGGCAGCACTTAAAGTGGCACCATGGATGTGTGTTCTGCTGGTAGCTATCCCATCCTAGAGATGCTGGAGACACCTGCTGGTAGCTATCCCACCCTAGAGACACTGGAGACACCTGCTGGTAGCTGTCCCACCCTAGAGACACTGGAAACACCTGCTGGTAGATGTCCCACCCTAGAGACATTGGAAACACCTGCTGGTAGCTGTCCCACCTTCGAGATGCTGGAGACACCTGCTGGTAGCTGTTTCACCCTAGAGACGCTGGAAACACCTGCTTGTAGATGTCCCACCCTAGAGACACTGGAAACACCTGCTGGTAGATGTTCCACCCTACAGACACTGGGGACACCTGCTGGCAGCTATCCCATCCTAAAGACACCTGCTGGTAGATGTCCCACCCTAGAGATGCTGAAGATACCTGCTAGTAGCTGTCCCACCCTAGAGATACTGGAAACACCTGCTGGTAGATGTCCCACCCTAGAGACACTGTAGACACCTGCTGGTAGCTGTCCCACCCAAGAGACACTGGAGACACCTGTTGGTAGCTATCCCACCCTAGAGACACCTGCTGGTAGCTGTCCCACCCTAGAGACGCTGGAGACACCTGCTGGTAGCTATCCCACCCTAGAGACGCTGGAGACACCTGCTGGTACCTGTCCCATCCTAGAGATGCTGGAGACAACTCTCTCTTTCACCTTTTTAAAGCTACACTGGTAGTGAACAATTTCAAGGAAGGGGTATTTTTCTCAGAAAGTGGTACTTTTAATAATTATGATATATTATATTATTATATATATCATATGTTCATACAATTTAAATCAAATTCTGATGCAGAGCTCATGTTGTACATTTTCCTAGTAAAAAAAAAGGTACGTCATTCTTTCTAACCCCCAGTATGGTGCTTCCTCCCCCCTGCCAATGACCCTAGCCGGCATCTTTCAATGTATTCCAGTGAACTCACCTTGCATAAGTCTCAGTCAGCATCTGTTCCTTCCTATTGCAGACATTGATTCTGGCAGAGCTGGCTACTGAAGGCAATGTTCCCTGGAGACTGGGGCTCCATCAGGATGAGATCAATTACTGTCAGTTCCAATATCTCTTCAACTTATATCAATTACAGTCAAGACCTGTATCTTTTCAGCTGAGCAATGGTACAGCTTTTGTACCATGCAGCCACAACAGCAGGTTTATAATTTTGACTTGGCTTAAGTCCCCAGTGCGCAACTGCAGTCCCGGGAAAAAAGTTTTCAAAGTGAGGCACAGAATCCACAGGGCAATTTAGAACTGTATTTCACAAATAAAAACAAGAATGGTGGAACAACTCATTGAAATTTCTAGAATGGCAGTCAAATTCAAGATGGCTGTTTGCAGGTTCAAATGAAGTATCAGTTGAAGTTAGGACTTAACTCAGCTAACACAGACCCTAATCAGTTTCTCTGCCCTAAAAAAAAAGAATAAAATTAAATCAATATTGAGCAATATCAATGGATTGGCTGAAAGGCCTTGGTGCTTCTTATAATTACTTTTAAAGCTTCAAAAGAAGGTTAAATAGAATAACACAAAATACAAAATATCTCACTGCAGAATTATACATTGTCACCATATGGCAGACAGACCCTTTAACTCAAGTACTAGCTAGTATACCACTTAAAATTAATTGCCAATAAACTCAATATGACTTACATGATCAATAAATTCTGTATCATACCAAACAGAACAATTTATAAACTATAAACCTCGCCAATAATTACTCAACACCTTGTCAAACAGATCATACTCCTAGTATATGACATGCAAACCAATAAATCCAGTATCATTCTGGCATCACTGTGAACAGAACACGCCTTTAACTTTGGGCCTGTTTACGATGAATTCATTGACCTAGCTACTGCGCACCGACTCCACTGAATGCATTATTAACAGACTAACACGCCTCCTCCTGGCATTAATAAGAATATACAGAAAAGTTCATGATTATTAACAGACTAACACGCCTCCTCCTGGCATTAATTACAATACAGAAAAGTTCATGATTATTAGAGTACAATGGTAACAAGAGGAGGCGTGTCAGTCTGTTAATCGGCTAGCATTCAGCATGAGTCCCGTTGGAGAAAAAGCACAGTAGCCAGGCTGATACAGTGGGAATGGGCCCTTACATCCATGAACTCAAATGTCATCAGGCAGCTTGCATCAATGTATTCTTGGAGAATGGACCAGCATACATTGGAATGCGTGTAGCAAATGTGTGAATATCATAAATATTTACAACAGTATGAGTAATCCTGCCTCCTCCAGCTGTTGTCTCTGAGTGACATCAAAAATGAATGAAGTTCTTCATATCTATGTAACCTTAATTATGCAATAGAAAGTAGCTCAATTGGCAGACAAATGGCTGTCATCTTCATCATGAACCAACTCTAAAAAGTGAAAGCTAAAAAGTAAACACCTATATCTTAGTTTTTCTTACAGTTGAACATATTTAATATAAACACAAATAATAATAATAATAATAATAATAATAATAATAATGATAATAATAATAATAATAATAATAACTAGCCAGTGTGAGTCATGTGACTCAAAAAACAACACATTTTTATCTGAAAAATAAAAAGCTCAGCCTCCTTATCTTTCCCACATACTCATATAATCATGAGCCTTTTTGTAGTGGTACATTTCTTTATGGTTATTTTTCTTCGATAAGACAACTGGGATCCAGGGTACAACATGACATATACTGGGTTCCCATACCAAGATCGATCTAACGGGATTGATCCATTTCCGAGGGGTTTCTTGCTAAATTGCTTTCAGCTTAAGCAGCTTAGATGTCTGACATGCCTCCTGAAGCTGCTAAATGATAATTAATTACCCCCTAGCAGCTTCAGTATAGGCATGACAGACATATAAGCCGCTTAAGTTGATTGCAATTCAGTGAGAATCCCCTTGCCTGGAGATAGATTGATCTACAGTTAGTAGGATAGGATCTGGGAAAGGTCCCTCAGTTTGTGTTCAGGTTGGACAGGCCACATCCTGGTATGTCAGTCACAGCCAGGAAAAAACAACTAGGTCACAATTATAAAAATCTTATCTGTGGTTCACTGTCCTCACACAGTACAAGCCACAGTGATAACTAACATACAGTAAACCATTTCAAATAATATTTCCCTTCACTTAAGATCATTAATTCAGATCCTGATGAAAACATGCAGCCTTTATAGTATGTGTTCAGGGCTGCTATTGTCTTGCAGCAGCTGAATTTCACTGGAAAATGTCAAGTACAAGAGTGAATGCTAATTAAATTGCCTAAAATAAGTTTCAAGTTTTTAAAATCATTCTAGCTAATAAATTTGCAAAGTTAAAATACAAACATGGCTACCTAGACTATATATATATATATATATATATATATATATATATATATATATGCTGCGACACTGTTGGCCTCTGACACTGGAACAACAGAAAAATGAAAACAAAAACAAAATCAAACGAATAAAAAAAGAAAAAGATATAACAGACACCATATCAGACACCATAAACAGCCTTTAACCAACATTTCTACAAGGTAACAGCAAATATCAAATATTCATTACTGTGGTTGGCTTATACCAGTGAGCCATATATAAATAGACTTATGGAGTCTGACTGAATGAATACAAATTTAATATGAAAAATACTCAAACATATACATGCAAGTACTAGTAGGCAATACTTTGTACACAAAAAAAGGAACAAATGTATAATAATAAGTAAACAAATAAAAAATATTATCTTAACTTACTACTAGTACACAGAGGTCGAAATTGTCACCATATTTATTCAAGTTTTTTTTTTTCATTTTTTGTCAGTCAACTATAAACCTTACAGAAACAAATCTGACTCCAGAGAATACATTATCATCTCCCAAATTGAAAAAAAAGGGTTATTTTTTTTTTAAATATCTAAGCAGCTATTGAAAAAAACAAGGCATCTGTCTTTGTGCTCTGGATGCCCAAAATATTTCAGAAAGTCATCACAGTTCTGTTTATTTATTTATTTATTTATTTATTTATTTATTTATTTATTTATTTATTGGGGGTAAAAACATGGTAAATTAAAAATGTATCTTCCCCATGGTTAAAAAGTTCTTCATAATTTGATGCAACCAGTTGTCAACTGGTCTCTGCAAATATCAACATGAACAAGAGAGAGCAGTAAACAGTGGAAGAAAAGCCACTGGCGGAATGGCGCTATCTGGAAACTATCAAACACACTTAAATACGATTGACTAAAAAGAATTTATCAATAGCTGAGATTGCCTGGCAAACTAATTAGGACCCATCAAATTCAGGGAAACTTCTTTGTTTTGGAATAAAAATGTGTTTAAGGGTTAAAAAAACATTGTATTTATTAGTTTTAGGGTGCATTCCCAGAGATTTAGATCGATCCAGAGATTTAGATTAAGATTGACCTGGGGGTTCGCGCAAAATTGCAGTAAGCCGAGCACGCACCATAGTTAATTACCCCCTTGCAGCTTTTAGTAGGTGGGACAGACCCTTAAACCGGCTAAGCTGACAGTAATCTAGTGAGACTCCCCACAGGGATAGATTGATCTAAAATCTATGGGAATGGGGTCATAGTGTTAGAAAACTTAGTTTTAAAAATTCAGAACAATTAACGGCTGAATTCTACTTCCCTGAGAACTATTAGTATTTGTAACATATAATCTGCTATAAGAAGCTGCCACATGTTAAGTTAATTTTTCTATTCTCTGAACATTTAAAACCTACAATAATGTATTCTGTTCTTATCCTTAAATATCACCATGATTTGTTCAGCTTTCATAGACAACTTAACTGTAACATCTGAACTTGATCCTAAATCACCCTTGGCAACAAAAGTGTTGGTTTGTCAGTTTAAATTGGTAGTGGACAAAAAATCTTTAAAAAGTCCTTCACAAATTCTGATGAAATTTTTGGAAATCACTGAAGGAGGAAAAGAGCAGACATCATTAAAATTCCAATTGAATCCTGGTCTCCTACATTTTATCTTTAAATACAGTACACAATATAAGTATAATTATAGACAAAATGAAACAAAACATTTTCTTTTTTTTATTCTTGGAAGAATCTCATTTGAATTGCATTCTAGCCTGTAGTATAATATGTTGCTGCAGTGTCACAGTTCACAGTGTTATTTCTGCTTAATACCAATATTCATGAATACAAGAACTACCTTAAGTGGATATTGCCTATCTGGAGTGTTTCTGCTTTCAGGTTACAAGTGGAGGTGATTTCATTTGTACATCATTAGCATATCATTTCCTGAAGTAGGTAGATTAGATTACGGTAAGTCTTTTAAAAGTACTTGGCTATATATATACAGTGTATGTACTAGTAAGGAATAATTAAACATATATTTTATGTATAAGTATTAAGCAGCTATGAGGAAACTTCCTGTCTGGCTGGTTATGACAGCTCAAAATGCCAGATTGGACCTGCATGATTTTTAACATTGCAGGTCCTCTCAAATGGCAAGGTTTATGTAAAAATACACTACATAAAAACAAATGACTAATGGAAATAACATTACAGTTTGGACCAGCACAGACTCAGAGAAACTGCAGAATTCTTGGAGTGTGCCCAAAATTTTCCCCCATGTCTGTCTTTAGGGTTAATAATTGAAAAAAATCAATAATTTTAAAAGTGTGTTCAAATTTCAAAATAAAAAAGTGCTTCTGAAATGCTATTTTACAATGGTTTCTGGTTTCAAAATTTATCTGTATGTTTGGTAAATATGGATTTTTTTTTCAAATTTAATGGTCTGCAGACCAAATACCACTACTATTAAATGGCCCTACTAAACCCTTAATTGTTATACATGGAAGAGAACTGATTATCTAGATCTCCGAAAAACTTGTAAACTGTTTCAGGTTTCACATTGCTTTTAAGGTATCAACCTCGATGCCATCAACTATACTGTCCTATGTGACAGTGTAATGTTATTACACTATATATCAATTCCATAAATCTGTTGTCATGTCATAAATGCATCAGTAGAACAATAATACCTGTCAGTGAATACAAAAAAAATTGAAACTGAAGGATAAGTAGAATCATCTTAGAAAACCTGTAGATTAGTACAAACAAACAAAAGGATAAGTAGAATCACCTCAGAATCCCGTAGATGAGCACAGCTAGAAAACTAGGACTCTGGTGACATCAGTACGTGCTGCCTGTGACACTCTACTTGGTTGTCTACTTACATGTGCCTTCCAGCAATGGTAACTAAATATTAGTCCAAGAAACAGCTGCAATATAATACATGTACAATGAGTATACACTGTCAGTGATGGAAGCAAAGTGGCTTTTTTCCTGTAATTATGGTCACAAGGAATGCATACAGTACCTATAGCTGTTCCCACTCTAGTATGTGACACATAAAGATGGAGTTGCTGGAAAT